CTGGGATTACAGGCATGCACCACCACATCTGGTTTCAGGGCTGGCACAGCATGTGGTACCAAGGATTGATCTCAGGTCCTTGTGCTGGCCAGGCAGGTACTTAGACCACTGAGCTATCTCCCCAGCGCATCATAATTTTTTTGGCTGATGAATTCATTATTGGTTTACAGAAAGGTTATTGGTGTGTGTGTGTGTGTGTGTGTGTGTGTGTGTGTGTGTGTTGACTGTGCATCATGCTATGCTACTGAATTTGTCCATTAAGTATGATATTGGCTGTTGGTTTGTCTTAGATGGCTTTTATTGGGTTGATGTAAAAACCATCTATTCCAGTTTTCTGTAGTGTTTTTATCATGAATGGGTGTAGGCTTTGTCAAAAGCTTTTTCTGCATTATTGATATGATCATGTGATTTTTGTCTTTGACTCTGTTGATGTAGTGTATTAAATTTATGGCTTTGTGTATATTAAACCATCCCTGCATTCCTGGGATGAATCCCACTTGGTCATGATGTATAATCTTCTTGATGACTTGATGCACTTTCTTTGCTAATATTTTATGGAGGATTTTTGCTTCTACACTCATTAGGGAGATTGGCTTGCAGTTATCTTTTTTGTTTGGATCCTTCTCTGGTTTTGGTATAAGAGTTAATACTTGCCTCATGAATGAGTTTGAAAGAATTGCTTCCCCTTCAATTTCACTAAAGAGTTTGAGAAGAATTGGCACTAGGGACCTCCCTAAATTTCTTGTAAAATTTAGCTGTGGATCATCAGGATCTAGGATTTTTTTGCTGGTAGGTTTTGGATTACATTTTTAATTTTGCTGACTTTAAGTTGACATTATCAGCAACCAGAATACGTGCCCCTGCTTTTTACTGGGTTCCTGTCACCTAGAATATTGTTTTCCATCCCTTGACATTCAGTCTATTAATTTCTTTGTAAGTGAAATGTGTTTCTTATATACAGAATACTGTTGGATTTTGTTTCTTTATCTACTCTACCAGTCTGCTTCTTTTGATTAGTGAATTGAAGCCATTTATGTTGATAGTTATAACTGATGTGTACTGGCTTATGTTTGTCATGTTGTTTTCCTACTATAGGATCCCTACTTTTCTTCTTTGCTTAATTATTTGTTCTGCTTAGTAGATCTCTTCTGTTGTTGTCGAAGTTGTGGTCATCTTTATCTCTTTCTAAAATATCTGGACGTACTCTTTGTACGGTTGTTTAATTTCTTCAGTTGTTCTTTATTGTGGAAGTGTCTAATCTTTTCATTAAATTTGATAGACAGTTTTTCAGGGTACATTAATCTGGGTTGAAAGTTGTTTTTTTTCAGGACTGCAAATATCTCACTCCAAGCTCTTCTTGATTTGATGAGCCTATGCTGAGATATCTGCCATGGGCTCTCCATTATAAGTGCTATGTTTCTTCTCTCTAACAGCTTTTAAAAATCTGTTCTTTTGCATAGTTTCTGGGAACTTGATCATTATGTGTTTGGATGATGCTTTATTTTTATTATTGCTAGCTGGAGTTCTAAATGCTTCAGTTACTGTATATCAGATTCTTTTCCCATGCTTGGGAAATTTTCTGCTAGTACTTCTGAAAAAAACACACTTTTTATGTCCTTTGTGTTGTTTACAGCTGTTTTGTTGATACCCATTAGTCTTTTATTATTTTTTTTGCATCATCTTGCAGCTGTTGTATTCTTATTTCCTGGTTTCTCGTTATTTTTAAAAGATGTTTCCTTTCATATTCACGAGCTGCAATGCTATGTTCAAGGTCTGAAAGTCTATCTTCTCTTTCATTCAAGTGGTTTTGCCAGCTTTCAATGGAATTCTTTATGTTCTGGATATCAGTTTGAATCTGTTTCATGCATTCTAGTTCTTTCCTATATTGTTCATTCATGTTCTCGCTTCAGCAACACATATACTATATTGTTCATTCAGTGTTCCATGATTTTCCTATTCCCTTCTATTTTTTCTAATCTGTGTCTTCCTTACATGTCTCAAGGAATTCTTTCATGATGGTTTCATTTCCTTTTTTACCTAAAAGATTATGTTTTTTAAAAAAATATATTTCCCACTACATGGCTCAGACTTGTAGTGATCTTCCTGTTTTCAGTCTCCCCAGCACTGGGATTATTGGCATGTGCCACCATGCCTGGACTCGGTGACTGGCTCAACATACACAAGGGCAGGGTTGGTGGGACTGGTGTGGCCTGTGGTGCCAGGGATCAAACCTTGGTCCCTGTGCCTGCCTAACCCAGTGCTTAGTTAGATACCTCACCTACCCTTACCTAAGAGATTATTTCTGAACTTATCTCCTCCATAGCCTGATGGAGTTGTTTCTTTACTTCAGTTCTTATCATCTCAGAATTTTTAGGTGTTTGATTTCCAAGTTCTTCTATTACCTTGTCTCCTGGATTTGTTTTGGGTAGGCTACCAATCTGAGATCACCTTTTGTTCCTTCCTTTTGTCACTTTTTTGCAGTGATTGTAGATGAACAGGGTGCAAGTCAGCAAAGCTCTCAGGAAAGTGGGAGGACAGAGTAGGCTTGCCAAAGCTTCTGCTGTGTGAGTTTTAGTGTGGTTTCTACCTCATTAAAGAGAAGGGGACAAGCTTCAGATGAAGATGAGTGCCAGTCAAAGTTGTACAAGGGTCTCTTGATGGTGCATTGGCATAGGGTAGTGCTCTGCAAAGCTCATGCAGGTTGCTGTGGTAGTCACGTCTCCCTAGTAGTCTTCAGGTTGAGGATGGGTGCAGCCAGGCTCGGCGGTGCTCTGGCCAGAAGACTGGGAGGCAGAGATAAAGCTGCCAATTTCCCCTGGCACTCTTCATGGTGAGGATGGGCAGCCAGACTCAGTGGAACTCTCTTTTGTACCAATTTGAAAGGTAGCTTTGCATGATATAATAGTTTGGATTCTAAGCTATTTCCTTTTAGGGATTTAAACACTTTACTTTAAGCTCTCCCAGACTTTAAAGTTTGTTTTGAGAAGTCTGTTGTAATTCTATGGTTTACCTTTATAAGTGATTCATGGCTTTTCTCTAACAGCTTTTAAAGTTCTGTCTCCATGTTGGATCTGGGATTTTGACTATTATGTGTTTTATTCTCTTTTTATAGTGCCTATTTGGGGTTCTATATGCCTCACTTTCATGTATGTTTAATTTTTTCCTTATTTTCAAACAGTTTCCTTCTGTTATTTAAGTGAACAGGTTTCTGCATCATCTGTACTATCTTCTGATTTTCTCACTAATTTCAATTACTCTTAGATTAATCTTTGCAACATCTATCAGAAGTAGGATCCATTTTTAATTTTCTTTTTTTGTTAGTAAGGTATCTCTCATTGTTGGCCTCTGACAGCAGCCTTATTTTCTAATAATGATACTATCACCTCATATTGGTTGTTTCTGCTGTCCATACTTTAATAATAATAATTTTTAATCTTCTGAATTTCTATTTCAAAGCTTTTCTTAAACTATAATTTTTTGTTAAACTGGCTTTTTATATTTTATACCATTTTGTTTGACTTAGTTTTCTTAAGAGCGTACAAATTAAAATTAAAACAAAGAATTAAAGGGCTGGCCACACAGCTCAGTGGAATAAAGTGACTGTAAGCAGGTTCAGGGGTCATATTTTGATCCCAGGGCCTGCTGTACCAGCCCTGCCCCTGGATCATGCTGAGATGGAGAGTGAGACTCAGCTTCGTGGTGTGCGCTTATAATCCCAGCACTTGAGAGACTGCAAATAAGAGAATCACTATGAGTCTTATCTAGTAGTGAGACCCTGAACACCCTGTAGACCCTTCTCCAAAATAAATAATAATAATAATAATACAAAAAATTTCAAGTGATAAAAATTTTCACTTAACAAAGTAATACAAATTTCACAGTATTTTTTGTAATACACGGTGTTGTCTTCCAACCAGTTATTCATACTACCAGATATATGCATTCAGAATTGGAAGAAGAGAGAAAAAAAATAAGTGTATAAGAAATTAACAAGAGAAAATGTACAAACAATTGAAAAAAGGAGACAAAACATGTTAAGTATTATCTGTTCCTATCCATAGACCAGCAGAAATACACAGTATGGTTTCTGAACCATCCTGCTTACATACATAGAAAAATCTCTTTCCCCCACTCCCTCTCTCTCTTGTCCTCAACTCAGTAGCTCTTTCCTTTTGAATAAGTTCATTCCCTTTTCACAGTATCTATCTATTATACCATTCAGATTCCACTTTTCTCTTTCAGATTCTCACACTAAGGAGAAAAATATGATGTCTGCACATGTGGGTTTGATTTATTTCACTTAAGAGTTAGTTAGGTTTTTATTAGTGTCTTCCATAAGCTTTCTGACTGTTTGTCTATTATACTTATTGCCTATTTAATTGCATTTTCTTTGAGCTCTCCAAGTATCTTACTGATGTTTTATTAATCTCCCTTGTTATCATTTCAAACAATTCCTCTATGTGGCTTTTGCTCCCCACCCCTCAATGGGCTGGGAGTCTAGAAAGGCATTTTTTTCTTTGTATTTTCATATTTCTATTATTTTCTGTGTGTTTCTTGAGGCTTGCAGGCATATCATGGGTGTGGCTAACTATAGCCCTATGCTTTTGGCTCAAGATCCAACCACTCCTGTTAATTTGGGAGGGGAGGATGCAGGGTAATTGGCTCAGATCTCAGTTCTTTATGAATGGACCACAGTACTATTAATAGAACAAAGATAATCCATATATTGATGGACAGAGAAATCCTATTAATAGCAACAATTATATGACCATAGCAATGGCAAGTTTACCAGCTGTAATAGTATTGTCCAAGACAAATTGAATATTTACATACCATAGGAGTCAATAATGTACCATAGAAAGGGGATATGTTATCATAACATAAACTCTAAAACAATCCAAATATTAATATACAGTAATATAATGCTAAAACTACACCTCCACAAACAATAGAAAATAATTCAACTAAAATAACATATAGTTAACTATCTGTATAAAAATAAAAATATGGAGCACTTCACAAATTTGTGTGTCATGCATGCACAGGACTACTCTAATCTTCTCTATGTTATTACAGTTTTAGTATATGTGCTACTGAAGTAAGATCAGGATTATCTGATTTTTATAATGTATGTTGAAAGTTTAAGAGAGAAAGGTTATGTGGAGCCAAAGACACTTACCATACATGCATGAAACTGAAAAAAGAGGAAGGTACCCCTCAGAATGTATGATGAATAGCAGAGTCTGTGTTGCAAGTGTAACAGAATCGCAAATGTAGCAGCAGATGTTTGACACAGAATATCTCAACTAAAAGTACTTGAGACATTTTGAGAATAGCTTCTGAAATTATCTTGCAAAGTAAATGTGCATTATCAACTAAGATAGTTTAAGTCTCTTCTTACAGGAAAATGAAAACTTTGTTAAAAATTGAGGTTTTTTTTAAACTTTACCATTTAATTTTCTACCAAAGTATTGAAAGCTGATTTTTCAAAAATAGGGCATGTAGTAGTAAGCTAAGATTAGACAACAGCAATCATTTTTTATACTGATGACTACTTGAGCATTACTTTATATAAAGAAGGTACATTTTGGTTTTATTATCAGAAGATAAAATTCCTTAGTTTCTCTGTTGCATTAGTCACTCCCTCCCTAAAAAATTTCCTTCTTCTTTCCCTTGTTAATAGATGACAACTTGACTGTGCCAATAATGACCAAGTGGTCAAAATTCCCAGCTTCTCTTGAAATTAGTGTGACCATGTAAGCTATGTTTAAGCAAATGAAATTTTTGGAGCTATGCCTAGAAAAAGTTTCCTTACCTGTCTAAAAAAAAAAGACTGAAGAAAAAAGACAGAAAGAACTAAAATATTTCTCTATGTCATCTGCCTTCAATATACATGTAGTGTTTGGAGATGAAGGATCCTTATTATGATCAAAAAGTGTGAAGTGTACAGAAAAATGCAAATGATTTTGGCCTTTTCTCAACCAGGGCATTAAATCAATACCAATCACCAGCTACTTCGAAGCCTCTTGTCAGGTTAAGAAAAAACATGTCCCGATATTTTTAAAGGGCAATAAACAGGAGTTGTGTTATGTAATAATTGGTACAACACCCAATTTAAGATCTTAAGTAACGATGATCTCCATATTTTAACTGTATGATTTGTACATCACAAAGTGGTATATCAGGGAAGTCTTTCAACATCTTAAGTATCAAGAAAGAGATAATAGTATACAAATGCATATCATAAATTTCAATAACTTCTTGGGGTACATAAGACAAGAACTTAATAAATATTGACAAGGAACTAGAGTTTAATAATATTCATCATAATAATAATTCATAATAAAAACTGGATTTTTTTTATTTTAATGTCAAATGCAGCAGCTAGTACAAATTGCAAATGCTAAATTGTAAAATTCTTCAGTCCCTTGATAACATCACAATTTCTACAGTCTAGGATTTTTTTTATTAACTGTAACAAATTTTATCAACAAAATTAGCAGAAAAATTAACAGTGAAACACAATGATTTATGTTCACCACAAAGTGGATTGTAGATTTTAAAAGCTAAGAAAACTTCACTAAGTCCAAATTCTTCTGTGTCCAGGCAGGAATATTTTATTTTTTTTCTTTGGTGAAATAAATCAATGCAACTCACCATTTTGGGTCAAAAATGTGTTAGAAATTACATAGCTCAAGAAAGCTGAATCTTTTCCTTTAATTTTTGTAAATATATGTTATGGATTGCACAAATTATGCCCTAGGGAAGCTAAATGGCTTTTCCAATTCAATTGATTCAGATTTAAGATACTATAAATTGCAGTTTTACCTTTACTTTACTTTTTCTAAGTTTTTGTGTGTCAAAAGAACATCAAATTTCTAAGTTTGCTTTCTGTTAATTTCACAGCTCAGCTGCCACAGATATATAACAGAGACCTCGAGTCTGAGGCAGCAAAAATCAAACATCATAATCTACTGGCTTCAGAACACATCTAGAGTTCAACAGCAAAGCAACAGAGACAGCAGTGGTGAGAAAAGGAAGATGTTGGGCTGGGGGGATAGCTCAGCAGCACAAGTGCCTGCCTGGCAAGGGTAAGGTCCTGAGTATGATCCCTATAAAAATTTTAAAAAAGCAAAAATAAAAAGGCTGATTCTGGTGTTCAAATCCATGGCTATCCGCAAGTCTGAAGCTTCCCAAGTCACAAGCCAACTCCATCCTTTCACCTCTGATTTTCTCACCATGTATAAATATCTAAAGGGTACAAATAATAGGTGAGTGTAGCTCAACAGACTATCACAAAAGTAGACAGGACCATCCTGCTGTTAAGAAGAAGGAAGTCAAGGTATTTTCATTGAAATCATAACAAAATCAGTTGAAACAGAAGGAAAGGGAAGGGTTGGAGAGATAGGCAGGACTTCAGCCAAGGAATTGTGCAGAATTCCTACAAAACTTTAGCCAAAAGAGCTATGCAAATTATACGTTACTGTGGGGAAAAAATTAGTTTACTAATGTAGCCATGAATAAGCATGTATTAATCATAATTTTAGAGCATTAAAACTAAATGTGGCCCTGCCCACTGACATAGAATAGTTTGCAATGCCTGGCTAAGTTCAGTTAAGGGATGCACCAAGATGAGTGTTCAGAAAGAAGAACTTCATAACCCTGCCCTGAGCAGCACTGGAGCAGACAGGAACTATGATTCTTAATGAAGTCACTTTCCAAAGATGAATCCAAAGATTCACTTTCCTTCAGTGAATGATGATGGCTGAATCATGCTTTGGAATTGGAAGTAAGCTATTATTACAATAAGCAAAGTCAAATGAACAACCTGTGAGTGAAAACCTGACTACAGATTCCCACCATAGGTTCTGCAGAAGGTCCTTATACACATGGAAAAATGTCTTACTCCAGTATTAAACATGAATTTCTATACAAAAAGTATATGGAGATTGGAAGTTACTGTAATAAAACTCTACATTTGGTTAAATGCTCAAGAAGATGTTCCTTTCTCCCCCACTACACAAATCCTACTTTCTATATGACTTGGAAATTACCAAACCCAAATGCAATCACATTATTTCTCTCTCATGCATAGTCCCTGCTTCCTTGGTGAACAGTTCAACAAATCTTTGGGAATATTTTGTCACCTGGCTATTCTAATGATTGTAGGTCCCAAAACTGACTTGATTCATTTCTCAAAAGCAGTTACTTTTCAAAAATTGTTTCACTTCCTTTTTAAAGAGGGACATATTCATTAGAAAAATGATTCACAACTTGGTTCTTGCAGCATTAACTAGGTAATTATTTTGAGTAGCCTCAAAAACTTGCACAAAATCCTTGTACAGAAACACCATATTAAAAACATCACTTTTATTTATTTTTTTTAATTTTTTTTTTTGGTGGAACCAGGGATTGAACTCAGGCCCTTGTGCTTGCCAGGGAAGTGCTTATTCCACTGAGCCATTTCCCTGGCCCACAAACATTACTTTTATAGTACATGGTATGCTGATACCTGAATTTACTTAATACATGTATTTCACATTTGTAGCATTTGAAAAGACCTTTTGTATTATACAGTTGTGGCATGTTCTACATGGCAAGTGCATATTCACTTGGTGTACGTGGTGTCCAGATGCCATGCATCTAAGCTAGGACTTCTTTTTTTTAATGTATTTGTTTGTTACAAGGTCTTACTGTGCAACTCAGACTCATGGTGATACTCCTGCTTTCACCCTCCCAAGCACTGGGGAGAAAAATAAATAAATAAATCTAATGAACAAAAAAGATCATTTGCTATGTGTATGGTCAGTAAGAAAAAAAGGTCAAGTGAGACTTAACTACATTTCATTTGAAAGTTGCTTCAAAGTTACTGATCCAGGAAAACCTACACTCATATAAAACCAGAAAATAAGGCAATTTGACAATTTAATTTATTTGATACTTTTTAAGATGCTAAACTTGAGACAGTGCACTCGTATAAGGAATTTCCCACATCTATCCCCAGTGAATTACATTATTCTTATTCTACAAGTTTATGCCTGTTATCTCTCTGTTGTGACCAGTTTCTTTAGCTGTTCTTTTCCATTAGTAAGATTTGCTGTCCATTTAATTTTATATGATATGAATTTTGCTCACCCTGAACTTTGGTTTTATTTGACTTGGATGCATTTTCCCATTTTTTTCTTTCACCTTGGAATTTACTTTTAAAAGTAGGTCTCCCTAGGGCCGGTGAGATAGCTCAGCGGAACAAACACAGGGGCCAGGGTTCAATCCTTGGCACCACATGTTGTGCCGGCCCTGCCCTCAGGCACACTTAGCTAGTGATGGAGTCTGGGCGTAGTGGTGCACGCCTGCAATCCCAGCACTGGGGAGGCAGAAAACAGGAGGATCACTACAGGATGGAGCTGTGTAGTGAGATCCGGCACAAAAAATAAATAAATAAAATTAAAATTAAAAGTAGGTCTCATATTCTGTGTAGACATGGACTTCCTCTCTTATTTTGTTGCTGTTTTAACCAAATGTGGCGTTTCATTCTTGTATTTCCCTGAATAGGGACACTTTGTTTTATTGATATTAAAATTGTTATGGTCATTCTACAGATAATATTTTTATATTTGTGACTTTTTCATATGTTAATGTTATCTCTGTGTTGCAATTTTGCTCTGTTATTTGTTTGCTTTAGTCCAGAGAAATTATTTCTTGATAGACTTGGTAGTTTGAAATCTGAAATACTTATTAGCTTTCTATGATTTTTTCATAATCAGTTTAGTTGTCTCCTAGAAATTTTATTCTGATATTACCAAAATTTATTTTTATAATGTAGTTTTACTATAAGAATAGAACTGTTAGTGTTATCTTGGTTAAAACAATTAACAAATTTGACCAAATGTCATTAGGGATATTTTAAAGACTTGATATACAGTAAATATTCTTTCATACTTTCAATTTCTCAATAATGTGACCTTTATCCTACTTTTCTAAATTGTACAATATATACAATGAAGGCAAAAAGAATAACTATAATGCACTTTATAATGACTACAGCAATAAATAAAATAAATATCTTTACCCCACATTATTTCATTCCTTGCATGTGCCTGGA